TTCGAAACACTGCAACCATCTGTTAGTTGCTTTGGCACTGTTCATGTATAATTCAGCTGTGTGGTCCATGAACCTTTCCCCGGTTAGTTCATCTCGTGCGCAGGTGTTATACCATGTAAGCTATTGGTCCTATATTATTGTTATAATTCACACATGTCTGACGTCAGACTGTGTGCCAAAGAAATGATGATAAAATAAGCGTTCTATGATTTGCATGCGAGCGGAATACGGCCAGGTTGCCCAGGCCAAGGCAGGTGAATTTACTTGAAGAATCCACAACCGGAGCCTTCGGCTAGCCAAAGCCTGACCCGCAAGGCAGCGGGGCAGTGTGTGAAAACCGCAATCCATTGGGGGCCGGTGTCCACTTCATTGGATCATACGCCCTTTGGACGGGACCAAACGTCCAAGGTACCCAATATACCTTGGTGCCCAATGGAGTCGATAGCCACTGCCACACCTAGGAGGATGTGGGTGAATGTGGTTTGTACGCCTATTCTTGTTTGGTTTGGAATCAGGGTTTTTGGTCAACCCCCCTAGGTGCACTACCAGTGGTCCAGCAACCCGGTTATAGCCCCGGGTGTCGGCTTTTCATCCTCTCAATTTGATGGGAATATTCCTCCCCTCACGAGAAGGCAATGATTAGGGCTTGTTCAGTAGAGGCTATTAGAGAAGCTTGGTTGCATGGGAACATTTCGCGACGTTCAAGGGTAGGGTGACCAGCCGCAGCTTTAAACACCCACCCCCGACCGTACTGGGGTTTCCGGAGGCTAAGGATGGGTGAAATAGCATCACAGCCCCTGATAGAGTTTGCGATCTGGGCTAGCTTTATCCTGTCTCTGATCTCGAATTTCCTACCTTAAATGTTTTAATCTGCTCCCTACTTCTTTCAGATTTTTCTACAAGGGAATTATGACCGGCTTCACTCTTGATTTTGTTTAGTAGAGCATGCAACTCACGGTTGTAGTTAGCTCCATTTTATGTTCAGTAATAGTAAGGGATTGAGGAAGGTACTGCAGTGCACGCAAACGGCACAATGGAGGCGATCGCCCTGTTGCGTGAACGCGTGGGAGCCAGCCTCAGGATTTCGACACAGTTTAGTGGTTGAATGTTCTGTGTTTATTCATGCTGCAGTGTCAGAATGATTGCTTCGTGGTGAATGAGCGTACTATCACGTTCTTTCAGTCTTCTATCAATACACACGCACATAATACAGGTATTGACCAAACTCGTGCAACATCTTGATTTTCGTATTAAACTCACAGTTACATGTGAGTAGTGTGTGTGGAATGATCGATATTGATTGATTTAACTTCGGACTTCACCTTCACACACAATCCTCAGTTCATCGATTTAACCATACAGTCGGAAGCACTTGACTCGAATTTCACTCTTATTAGAGCTCATCAGTAGTGCATACCCACTGTCCTGTCCGGGCTTTGAACTCCGGGACCGAAATCAATTAATCAAGCCTGGTTTGTATGTGGCTAGTATCCCGTAACCTCCATGGTAGTCCTGATTGAGTGGGGGCTTTCGATTGAAGTTAATGGGTTGTACCTATGTCTCCCTTCGTTGCTGTCGGGCAAATGAACTGACTGACTATCATTTAAGACAACACCTGAACAAACATGAATGGGCAATTTGGTTCAACCAGGGCATGAGCTGTTTGGCGCAGTGGTAACATACACGCCTTCTATGCGATGGGTCCGGAGTTCAAATCCCCGATAGGACGGTGGGTATGCACTACTGATGAACTCTAATAAGAGCGAAACTTGAGTCTAGTGCTTCCGACTGTATGGTTGAATCGATGAACTGAGGATTGTGCGTGAAGGTTAAGTCCGAAGGATAGTCAGTCAAATTAATCTTTATTTTCATCACATTTGTTCTTCTCAATGCTTTGTTTTTCCAGCTTCATTCACAGGATTAAATGTGATGAACATATCTGATATAATACCCACTTATATCACCGCTTCTATTAACCACATGCCATTAAATTGTTCGATTTCGCGATTTTGACGACGGTTGATGTTACATCTGTTTTAAGATAAGAAAGTCACAGTAGAAAACGTAACTGTAATTTATTTGTTAAATTGACTCGTAGACTTTATACAGGTATTGTACCTTTATCTTGTTCATGTTCCATTTACTCTTCTTCATTTTTGACCACTGGAGGCAGTCCACCAAGTTGAGTGCCAAACAAAATTTGCAAGTTTCCTCTAATAAACCGCACACCCTTACCACTGGCGACCAATGGCAAGGTAACTAAGTTATCCCTGATAGAGGTAAAAGCTTTCGATTAAATTAAAATCCCAACTGCTGCACGGTGATAGAACGAATTTGACATTGAATTTGACCCCTCTAGAAAATGCACAAAGGTGAAAAAATAATATTTATTTTGGTCCAACCACTTTCTACCACTAACCACAAACGAGCTGATATACCAAACTGCTTACGTGAAAGATACGACTTTCGCGAATGCATTTTGGGAGTGACAGTTATGAAAAACCTCCCTTATCAGTGCAAAGAAATTTTGCCATATCCATATTGGCGTATGCAGGAGACCAATAACAATGCGCTCAATAATCACTTCCCTTCCAACTCGTTAGGCGGGATAGATATTTACTTCTTTTGACAGGTAAAAAGAAAGTCATTAGAAAGCTAGCTCAGTAGAACAGGAATCACAATATGGGGAATTACTCGTTGGCCACTAGCGAAATAAACCCTTCGCTAAACAAGCCGGCGTTGCGATTTAAATTTTTTGGTAAAATTAATACGCGCTGTGCTTTGTAAGACGTTCGATAACGGCTTTATATCACGTGGCCTCAGCTGCACTTAAAATTGAGCCATTTTTCCAAGCGAAAGCGTGGGGACAAAATGGCTAATCAGCCTGCTGCTGCTGTGATCAAGTACAGCCATCATCTTACTTTGATATGGTTGGTTTTCTCCCTCTCTGTTTATGTCTTAGTGGATAAATTTCGTTGAATATGCAACAAATTAGACTTATCGAAGCGCTTCCACAAGACACCAACTGACCCATCAGATTTACGTGCCTCTCGGCTTCAATTATATGCCAAAACCTTTTGAAATTTTCATCCGTTTTGAGCATGGTGACACTACAGGACGCTTATTCAACGAAAAGAAAGAGAGAAAAGAAAAGAGAAAAAACTTCTTTGCTTATCAGTGGTAAGTCAACAAAACTGTAGATGGTATGAAACAAATGGAAAACCGACTTATTGGGAAAAGTACGTTCACATTACCTCCTGCTACACTGTGAGGTGTATGCTATAAGGGTGTTTGTCTTTAATCGGTCTATCTATGAAGATAAACAAGTTTAGATGGTGAATACTTGGATTAGTCCATTCGGTTTTTCACATGCACTAGGCACTGTTGATGTTCGATGTGGGTTCCACTCCTCGTGAGGTCGTCGATTCATCACTGTTTGTTTGCACTTTAGTGCGATGAAAATGTTTGTGACAACCAACAAAGAGCACTGGACAGCTGTTTCGTCCTGTTTTGGGACTCGTCAACAGTGTGTACTTTTTTGTCCCTGCCAGGACTCGAACCGCGATTCTCCGGGCCGGGACTTCAAACCCTTACCCTTGGGCTACACGGTCGATGATCATCACCTTTTGGTTATCACAAACATTTCCATCGCACTAAAATGCAAACAAACATTGGGGAATTGACAATCTCCCAAGGATTGAAACCCACATCGAACATCATCAACAATGTCTGGTGCCTTTGAAAACCGAATAGGCTAATCCAAACATTCACCATCTAAATTGATTGAGCCATCAGCCGTAACAAGGCCCCTGTTGTTTGCTCAGCTAACCCGATTGAGAAGATCCACCTCGTTTACAGCGGCGAGCCTTTCGCAGACCCAGTGAACCTCGGCTGGATAGCAGGCTTGTCATCACCAGAAGGATGAACTGAACTTGACAACAAAAGCACCACAATAAGCACAAAACACTGGGAAACGACTGAGCAATCGCACTATAGTACGGGCCACAGGAAACCATGACATTTTCAATTGATTGGGTGGTGGCGGCCCGGTGGTAACGTCACCAAACTATCACCCCGGGGATGTGTTCGAATCCCATCACCACCACCTAACTTTCCCCATTGTGTGTTCAATGACAGCCCTTTGATTGGCCGATTCCCCCTTCCTGAATATTGTACCATTGCATAT